ACACACACACACACACACACACACACACACACACACACACACACACACACACCCTGTAAACACAAATAGTCCACACATCTGGATTTCAGCACCAGCCTTTAGATTCTGTCACTGGGCTCTCTGCTCCTCTCGCTAAATTTATCAGGGCCTGCCGTCACGTGTGTTTCTCATCTTTCTGCCGACTGATGAGACTTTCTAAGAATAGCACAGGCCCAGATTAACACAGGGTGGGGGGGTTCTTGTTCTCCGTTTAACCCTTTCACAAAGCAATTCATGTGCAACTCTTACAGTTACGACCGTGTGTGTCTCAAATGTTTCCCATTTCTATGCATACTGACCCCATTCAGAAAAAGAGGCGTAAAGGTTGTCAGAAAACTGCTTCAACAAAAGAGTCACCTCCTTCAGTGACGCCCAAATGTCACATCTAATCCCAGGATGAAGTAGGATCTCCTGGATCAGGGGTAGTCCTATGATAAGAGGTGATATTTGTATTGACAATGCCCCCCCTCTGTCTGAAAAGTCGAGTCCTAAAACTGACCCTGCTGATGTGTAAACGTTGCGAGCCCTGGTTATCTTGACTACGCTACTACTTCAAAAAACATGCAGACACTTAAATGCCAATGCAAACACACTTAACAGCTGCAGCTATGCAAACAAACTAAACCAAGGAAGGAGAATACAACAAACCTGTTCAGGATAAATAATTACACGGATCAAATTCCATGTTGATTTTCTGTTCTATGTTCATTTTGTTGAAGGGTTGCTTGAAGCTTTAATGCATTTCAATAAGAAAGGTAATAAAATCACTCAGACTTGGAGTGATTTGGACAACATGAAGATAAAAATAATATTTTTATTTGGTTTTACACCCAAATTCACCATCCTGTTGTTGAGCTGAACCCTTCCACCATGGCGTATGATGACACAGGATTATAGTCTGAAGACAGCAGCCATGGGTATTCGTTTGGCAATAACAATGACTGTGAGCTGTAAAAACATCATAAAATAGAAAAAAGGAGAGTGCAATTTCTCCCCTAGCTTGAGATATCTGCCCAAACACTGGTTTATCTTAAGTGTACACAGCCGGTCTGTGATAACAAATGTAACCTTTGTTAAGGTGATTGGGAGGACGTTTGTGTGGAGCTATTGGCCACAACAGAAAAATGGGATACATGAATATTGTATTTAATTTACACTAAAGACAGTCACAACAAAAATGGCTGGGTTATTTATATAACTGGGAAAAAGCTGTTAGGTCGGTTTAGTTTGACCAAGGTTGACCCTTAACATCTATTTAAACAATTTAAATTAGGTCAAACATGGAGACAGGCGGGGTTTGTTTATCATTGTTAATATGGTATCTAACACTCTTTGTTGTTTCACATTATTTTGTACATTATTGCTTCGAATAGCAAGCTGTTAAACTA